ATATATATATATATATATATATATATATATATATATATATATATATATATATATATGGTGTTTGTGAATTTTTAGGGACCTTTTGCATTAATATGCACCATGGGATGCAGTGATACAAGTGTTTCAATCATCAGGCAGTTTCATATAAAACACCACCACCAAACTTGTAAATGACTTATCCTGAAATGGTTAATCATCTGAAAATCCTCTGCCTTCCACTAGAGGGCGCACACACACACACACACACGCTGGCTGTACACAAACATAATGCCTCTAACGAAACCAAAACTAAAGAAAATAAATCTATAAACCTGCAGGATGATTATATATGATTATACTTCTTTAACTTCTTTTTTAACTTTCTTTCTACTAATGAATGGTTTGATATTAATGCACTCTATGTTTTGCATTCTAGGTTTTATAATCAGTGCAAATGATTGAAGATTATTAACAGTAAAAGCTGTGTCAATGCTGGAGGAATGAAATGTGAGGTTTGTAACTAAATATCGCAGGAAGTTTTTCTGAAAATTGCTGGTAAAATAAAAAATCATCATGAGAGTTTAAGAAATATCCATCTGCCCTGGATGCAGCACAAAAAAGCTTTTCGGTGCTCTGAAGTAGGGGGTCTTCAATTCCAGGAACTCCTGGAGTTCAGGTGATCTGCACCTTCTAGATGTGCCTCTGTTTCCACCAGACAAAAATCTAAAGCCTCAGTGTTTGTCATTGTTACCTGTCAGTGTTGGGCTTTTCCTGAGGAGTCTCCTCTGGGCAGGCGCTACCCAGAATTCGTTTCCTGGCCTCTGCGTACTCTGCTTCCCGCTGGGCCAGGGACTTGACTTGAGGAGTAGGCCTGTTTGGATTCATGGAGGAGGCCAATGACCCGTTACTTGCTGGTCGCTTCAAGATTCGGATCTGAGGCGAGGGTGCTGTTGGTAAAGAGTTGTCCTGAATCACCATGGTTGTCTTTAATGGAGATCTGGAAGAATTAGTAGAATCCCTGAAGAAAGAAAAAGGAAATGCCCAAATTAAGATCATTTTAGCTCCAAAGCAATACCCATATTTGACTTAATTACTTATTAGCCTCCTGTGACATGTAAAGCCAGTTTTTGTAAGAGTGAAAACGACCAAGATCCAATTAAGACATTGATCACCTTTATAATGTTTCAGAGCAAATTTATTTTTAAACAGTTGTTTTGCTCCAGATGAGTAGATGACAAAAACAGATATGATTAAAACCCCCTTTTTCCAAACATTAAGTAGACAATTAGGCCATAATCAAAAGGAACCTTGTCTGAGTTTTAAATATTCCAACACCTGCAATGTTTCTGTCTTCAAACTGGTCTAGATTTCACACGTATCAGGGTTTATACAGGAATGAGGAACTCTAATTTAATGCTTTTTAATGCTCTTAGAAATGATTGTGATGCCAATAAAAAGAACACATGACTCTCATTATATATATATATATATATATATATATATATATATATATATATATATATATATATATATATATCACAGCATCCAGGTCCCAAATTCCTCGTTTTCCAGCCTCTGCTGTTGAAATTTGCCCCTTTCCCATTCTCTAGCTTTTTTCCGCCTTGAGCTTCTTTTCGGAACATACGGCTTTACGATCAACCGGAAGCACTTTTGCGCAAACACGCAGAACCAATTATATCTGATTAAACTGTTCTTATAAATGTATTTGTTTTTTAAAATAAAGCGTTTTAAATACCATGATAATTAACATTTAACGAATTTTAATGCCAATTAAGGCCTTAATTTAAAAAATAATAATGATTTTTAATGACCAGGGAAAGCCTGAATATAGAGGGTATTTGTTCCACTATTATTAATAGCAAAGAGCATATTTTGTAAATGGAAATTGGGAAAACAAAACAAAAACAAACAAAAAAATACAACAACACACGTTTTGTAATCAGAAACCTGGAAAAAATACCTCTTTAAAATGGAAATGAAAATATTTATATTTTCTTTTTCATTTAATAACATTTTTAAAAGAATGCGATTTCTAAAACTCAATCTGAAAATAATACATTTGAAGAAAAATCTAATTTGAAAATATTAAATCAAAAATATATCCCTTTTTTGAAAAAGATAACATGACAAAACATTTTGAAAAAGTTAAACAGCAAAGCTACTCTTTTTCAGTTTTTCAAAGTTTAATTTCAAAGTGAATATTTTTCAAATTCCCATTTACAAAACGGATTCTTTGCACAAACAATGAAACAGAATTCACATCATAAACATAATGCTAAAAAATGACACTTTAATCTGTATAAACGCTCAACTGTTGTTCAGGTAGATATATATGGATAAACCAACACAACTGCCTCTTTTAGGCCATTAACTTCAGCACCAAATGTTCTTACTTTTCTCTCGGGCTGATCCGAAGCTTCTCTTCTAACCGTTTTTCCATTTCCTGAGGGGAAAGTAGGACAAACAGGGATTCATGTGAATAAACATTGATTTTTGACATGATTTGAGAAAGGAAAAACTGAAGAGGGCATTAAGCTGTGGAGTGGATTGAAAGCAAGATTCTGTTACAAGCTATTTATACACAAAGGGACAGCTGCCAAGTCATAAACTCTGTTCAGTAAGCTAACAAAGTGCTGCTAAAAGTTTAATTTAATTAAATAATAAATAAGGTAGAAAAAAAGAATTAATGTTGGGCAATTACACATGTGCAAAATGAATACAAACACAGTATGAAAGACATTTGACATTATAACCTTTATTAATTAACGGAGTGGAAACTCTTTGAGCAAACAGCATTTGCTGTAGCAGTGTTCACAAATAATCACTTCGGATTTGGTGACACACACCAAAAAAGCTAAATGTATAACATTAATCTGGCTTTTCTTAAATCATTTAAACAGTGAACCTAGAACCAAATATAGTTTTTAAAAGGTTATTTATTTATTTACTTTTACCAAACTGCTGGCAGAGACAAAACTACACTTTTATTAAAGATGTTAAAACTAGAGTTAAACTAACACACCAGCTGCTAATATTAGCGTTTTTCCCATGAAAATTCATTAGTGTACTCAGCAGCCCATGCATGACCCACCCAGAAAAAGAACATTCTCCACTATACCTTTAAGGGTTCTTTTTATTTATTTATTAAAGTTTTTGTTTGAGTTGATAATTGTGTAACATGTGTTGTTGTGTCATTTGTATCAAATAAATGGAGAAAAATCAGCCCAAAACATTTGCAGTAAATACCAGGATTTTAGGCTAATCAGTTTTTTTTTTATCCTTTGTGGTTTGATCTTTAGTTCAGACTTAAAAGAAAATTAATTTATGTATTGTATGCATGTGCAAATATATTGTATAATATTAACATGTCATTTATATTTAGCACCAAAGAATTTGTGTATAGAGGTTATTATTTCGGTCACTCTTTGTTGGACAAAATAAAATGACTGATTGAATAAACCCACAAATCTTTTTAACAAATAAAACCATAGTTACCTTTTTTTTTTTGCTTGTTTTTCTTCTTTAAAGTTTTTTTTATAGCAGCCACCCTTCCCTAAGGACCATTTTGATTAACCTTTGGCAAACAGTAAATGGCTCCGATGATGGGCCAGGGAACATCATTCAGGTCTGGAGTCGTCGGTTTTGGTTGGATGTTGTCCTATTTCTAAAAGACAAAGGAATGAATTTTTCTGTTTAAACATAAATGTAACTGATTGATGTTTCAGTTCACAAAGTCATTAGTTCTGCAAAAAAAACATAAAAAAGGTTTTCTGAAAATGAGCACTTATCCACAATAGCTATCAAATTAAGAATGACAAAAAAAAAAAAAAAACAATCTGCAAGTCTGAGGAGTATGTGCCTTTAAGAAAATCCTTCTCTGCTGGAGCGAAATACTAAATTAAAAGCTGTTGTTTAAGGAATACAGTAAAATCCTGCTCTAATGCTCAGATCTCTATTGAAAAGAGATTTTAGTCTTAACTTGTGATAATATTGAACATCACATTGTTTTCCTGCTTTGAGCCTAAATCCACAGCCCCTGCTTGGTTTTGAAAAACATTTCTGCCAACATATTTTTCCAGTAACATGATTATCAATCATTCAAACAAGCATCACCAAACCAATAATTGAAATAGAGCATAAACAGCCATCGCTTGCAGAATATATTTAACCAACATGGTGTCAGTGCAGTTTTTTTCTGAGAAGGTGGACTCTATTTAGAAAAATGTATATGATTACCTTACAGATAACCTTACTGACAAAGCTCATACATTGTAAACCCATTTAGTTATGGGAATAAGGTTAGCAGCAGTTGCTTAATATATTTCTGAAGATGGAAAAACATTTAATAAAAAGAAAAAACATTTTAAGTGATTTAGTCAAATTCTTAATAGTCAACATTTTTTTAACAAGATAAAATTTGTGCAAATTCTAGCGATTATCAAATGTTTAAAAACTACTATCTTTTCCGTTTCAAAGTTAATTCAATGTAAATTTAATCAGCCCAATAAACCTGCTTTTAAAATTTTTAAGAGTTAAACCATTAATCATCATGACTTTTAAATGTGTCATCATTGTTTTAAATGTGTTGTAAAATGGTTTATTCTTTGATGGTTCAACTCTTTTATAACCATTGTTTACCAGTTTAATCTCATCATGTTAGGCCTTTATAGGGCAAATTAACATTTTTGATCTTTTTCCTTCCAAACGGAGTCCCCCACTGTCCCTCGGTGAGATCTAGAAGCACAAGATCTATATCCACCCATTCAGCAAAGATGCTGCTTCATGGCTGCACATCTTATTTTGGCATTTGACCAATTAAATGAGCCCTTCAATGACATACTACCTACTGTAAATTAAGTGAAGAAACTAAGGTAAAAAGCAAATTGAAAAGTCAAAAAGTAATGTTAAAAAGTTAATAAGGCTAGTTAACAATTATATTTAGGTTTATAAACTAAAAAATGTAAGTGCCAGTGTCAGCATTAATGCCTCTAAGGTTATGTTGTACCAAAGAAATGTGTTTCTTTCACTCTCAATAGAGTTTTTCATGAATTTCTTATAAAAGCACTTATTTTTATTAATATATTTGGGCAAGATGGCATATCTTGTTATTAGATTGACATTATTTTTTGCCATTAATATATCCATATGTTTTTAATTGTTCCAAAAGGTAATAATGTCTTGATTCCAATAACAGTATTGGGATGAAATTTTGATTTTCAAAGTATTTCACTGAGTTCCCTGTAAAGGGTTAAAGGTAGTGGTTGCAATCATTTTTTTTTATACTTTGACACAGAGCGAATAAAGTTATGCAGTAAAAAAAGGTGAAGGAGCAGTTTGGTAACGCTGGGAGCTTCTAGTCTGGGCTCAAGTTGACAACATGGCCAGGGAGATTGCTCAACACCCTTTCCATGTCCAAATTCTACCTTTTAATTTCGCCAACTCCATAAAACATTAACGAATAGTTTTGTGGAAACTTTTACTGATCTGAAGACACTTTATAACTAAATTAGAAAACAAAAAAAGAAAACTTTTATTCTTGAAAGATCAAAAGTACTCGTTTATTGCCGTCTGAAGTCTAAATAAAGTTATTAAATCACAGATAAACATGTTTACTTGTAGAGAATACATGAGGTGTTAAAATGTAGATTTCAACTTGGCTCCAGCCAATATACGTTACGTTAGTTAGCATTAGCCTTAGCATTCGCTCTATGCGATAGCTGCTCGGTCACAATTAAAACTTTAATCTTCCCAATTTTAAACACAGAGCTAAACACGTTAGCGCGGTGAATATTATGAAGTCTAATATAGAGCTAACCAAGTTAGAGGCGATTCTTCCTCGACTAGCTAAGTTTCTTTGAGCTAGCATTAGCTGTAGCCACATTGTTGGCCCGTGGGAGCCGCTGACACGGAGTAGAGCTCCGACTACTTCTACGAGGAAGTCCGTCCGAAGTACGGAGCTCCTAAAAGCATAGCGGTCTGTAACCGAAGGCACGCCGTGGTTTGGATTATTTACCCTACAATGGGCAGCTTCCTCCCAACTTTCGTGGACCTCCTCATCCATGTTTCATTTTTGCTCAAACACGCTGTGGAGTTGGCTGAGCGGGGCTCCTCTACCGCCTCCTCCTCCTCCTCAGTTCTGGGAGTCCGACGTCTGAGAAATGTGACGTCACCATGGCGGATTTCCCCACAGATCTGTGAAATGAGAGGAGCTGGGGTTCCCTTCACTAACGTCAAAAACATGATAAACATCACTAATTGGCCTTAAATATGTAATCCTGACGCGATTCTGTCATGTTTTATCACACATAAGTCAAATACAACCTCACTATTCACTAATTTTCTAAATTCAATGCCTAGACCTTGTAAATATATGTGTATATTTGCTAATTAATTTACCTATATGTCTGGTATAAAAAATTATCATTAAAACAAACGCTCCCTAAAGTTAGAGTTCAAAGATGGAATGATTAAGATTTTTATCATCAACCCCAACCTCAAAATAGAATATGGCTGCCAATATGGGCATCTTTGTTGTTGTTGTTGTTGTTTTGTTGTTGTTGTTGTTTTTGCCTGCATAAACTTATACTAAACTAAATGTTTTCATCTGAAATTATTAAAACCCTAAATTTATCAACATAGTTTAATATGGGAGGAAAAAAAATCCTATGTATGGCTGCAGTTAGGAGTATGGTCAGTAGGGGCGCTAGGTTGCAGCTGGTGGTTTATTGTCACTCTGGGTGACAGTGGAGGGAAATAACAGTTATTCAGCTGCCATTTGTACGGAAGAGGATTAGGGCCACTGAAAAAAAAAAGTTAACTGATTTTTAAATGTTATTTCAGTTTAATATGAGAAAAAAAGTCCGAATTCTGACTTTAATCTCAGAATTCGGACTTTTTTCCCATATAAAACTGAAATAGAATGTAAAAGTCAGTTAACTTTTTTTTTCTCAGTGGCCCTAATCCTCTTCCGTACATTCGGACTGAAACATGTCACAAAAACAATCATATGTGTTTGCTGGAATTTTTTATTTTTATTTTTTTCTCTAATGGATAAAGATGTCGCAGAATTTCAATTTACTGTTGATTTAGGAAACACGGTCAAGTTTTGGTTTGATAAAAAGGGACATTTTCCATCATCAGCAGCAAGTCATCCTACTACCCCAGTCAAACTCCTGTATCTATCGCATTTTAAGACAGGTGCGCAATAAATCTTAAAACCAATTGCAAACTAAGATTAGATTATCACATTTTGACTTACTATGGTAGTGTATAAATTTATCAGGGGTGCAACTATATGTAGACTCAAAACTTCTGTGAAAACCTGGAACTATATTCCCTGTGTGTGGTGAGTCTAAAGCAAAATGTATCTTTTTTTTTTATGAATCACTAGATAAAAAAATGGTTTCTATGATGTTTCCATTTATCGAGATTCATCCATGCTGAAAACTGATACATAAAACAAAATGTTTGTAAAAACGTTATAAATTGCAAAACACCTGAGATTGAAGAATATAATGATAATAATTATAATAATTATAATTTAATAATATGATAATAGTAGTATAACAATAATAATATCATAATATTGTTATATAATATTATTATGTTACCATTTACCGGGGTTTTGGTTGCAAAGGCTCTGGTGTTGTTCCGATTTCTGCCACCAGATGGTAGTAGTGACGCATAAGGAAGCGTTTTAGTCTTGCGCAGAAGCAATAGCAGAGAGCTGCAGCTGAAGAAGCACAATAATGTGTAACATGCAGCTGAATTTTGAACCTGCTGAAGATGTCAAAGAAAATATTAGTGAATCCCACAATAGAGTGAGCTGTAGTAGGCCAGTCTAGAAGTACTAAAAATACTAAAGGCACAAATAACTCTGTCAAGGACATTATATGATGAAAATGATGTGATGTTTTTCTCTATGTGATGCATGTTGTCACATTGCCGGATCCCCACTCTAATTTCTGTTTTTCAAATCCTTTATTTTTAATGCATAATGCAAAAAGCATCAAATTCTATGATTTCTGCTTTTATGTTTGTTTTTGCCGGAGGGAGGCGGATGTATTTTAAAAATACGGATGGACTTTAGGCAGATTGGGAGGTTTCATCACATGAAGGAGTGGCTACACTCTGGCCTCGAAACACCTTATCAGAGGTGTTAAGTGACTAAGTATAAATACTTTGTAACAATAAGAAGCTTTCATTTATAGTATTTATTTTTCTGAGGACTTTTTACTTTTCTTCCCTCCATTTGAACACAGACATATTTCCTTTCTACTCCTTACTTTATCAAAACCTACTGGTCATTTTTATAAATACAGATAACGGCATGAAATCAGAAAGAGAATCTGTCCAGTTGGAGCAAGGTTACTTTATAGAAAAACTCTGATATTTATATTTACCGGTACATGTTATTATGTGATCAATTTGTAGGATTCTTCATAAAAATGAAGAACATTATGGGTAATAGTGAGCATCCTCTTCATCAGTCAGTTAAACAACAACAGTGTCTTCAATCAAAGGCAAAGAAGACAGACTGCAGGAGTTTGCCCTGCAATAGGAGGGTTGTCAGTTCGAACCTTGGCTTTTAGTGTCGCTGTGTCCTTGGGCAAGACACTTCACCTGCATTGCCTACTGATGGTGATCAGGGGGCCCGGTGGTGCCAGTGTAAAGCAGCCTTGCTTCTTTCAGTGAGCCCCAGGGCGGCTGTGCCTACAATGTAGCTTGCCATCATCAGTGTGTGAGTGTGTGCGTGAATGACTAAATGTAAGGTGCTTTGGTCGCGTCTCCTGTCTTTAAAAAGCACTATGTTAGTACAGGCCATTTACCATCAACATCTACAACTGGTTCGGAAAAAAAAATAGTTGCTACAACATTTAATTCCCCCTGGGATCTATACAGTATCTTTGCTTAAATGGAATAGAAAAGAGGGAAGTTAAATTGTCTGTGCATAATGCTGATTTTATATGTATGGAGTTCTTAACAGTTGTTTTGTATCATTTTAGGCAAAAATACAATACAATATAGATCCTATACTTTTAAAATTTTACGTTGGGTTTAATCTGTACTTGTCCTTGTACTTTTACCAGTCTTTTCTTAGATAGACATATGTGCTTTTACTTGAGGAAAGAAGATAAATAATTTTGACACTTCACAAAATCTGGCTATGTTTACATATAAACTAAACCTACGGGGATAGTTTTTGTAACACAAAAAGAAATGAGTGTTATACGTTTGAATATAGATCTAATTAAATAAAGATACAACCCCTGTTTCTTGTTTTATTGGTCTAAGTAAACTGTAGTTTAAAGATCAACATTTAAATGTTCAATGTTTTTACATCTGCATCATTAAGTTCCTATGATAAAATCCCTGGGATTAGGGTCCACATAGCTGTGAAATATTTTATTATCTAACTTTACGAAGAAGGTGAATATTGGGATTTTTTTTTTGCTGGTCTCAGACATTGGGAATAACTTTTTTTCTTTTTTTTTGTTTATTGGATTTAATAACCAGGACACAATCACATAATGTTGGTCCAATGTTCTCATTTATTCTGTCACCAAACTCAATACATACAAATTTTATTCTGAAATAGTTTCCATTCGAGTTTGAACTGAAGTTTGATGCAAATAAAGCATCAGAATGCATCCAAGAAATAAAACGCCTTCTGTAATTTCCTTCCTTTATTTCCCATTTTCTTGACAATCTCTTTGATTTCATAACTGAAGTCAGGTGATAAAATTCTCTTCATTTTGTAATCTGCATACAGTCATCAATACAACACAATCATTCAAAGTACAATTTCACAAAATTTCCAGAAACCCTCTCTTCTGACAGAGCCTTTACATCGGACACCGATGGACGTAGTAACCTGTCACGTAACCTATTATGTAAATAACCACCATTGCAGCCAAGGCTCCTGCTGACTTCATTATGATCCCAGTGCTCCCAGTGCAAACTCTGTTGTAGATCCTGTAAATTAGATCAACCATAAAGTTAATACATCTTTTCATTACAAAATTTTTTTTATCTTTAAATATTGCTGAGTTCTTTCAAAGAAGCCAAATCTGGTTATGTGATCCAACAAAACTTTTTTGGCTTTTTTGGCTTAGATTCAACTTTCTTTTTCTCTACTACTACTAGAGATTAACCAGTGCAGGATTTTTATGCCTGATGCCGATACCAGTTATTACCAAAACAAACCCCTTTTGTTCTGATCTGATGCCCTGATTTTGTGGACCAATACTTTAGGCCAATTTTCCTTTTTATTCCTCCATTTACATGATAAAAGTGGTAAATTGATAAGAAATGTTGCACAAGTAATAATTTAAAAGAAAGAAAGATGCATCAACAAAATTGAAAAAAATACATTAACGATGGATAGCAGATGGAGAAAGCAGCAATGCGTGCTCTGCATGTGATCTCAAGGCATACTGAATGAATAAATAAAGCAGCGAAGCATGATTGGTTGCTAAAAGCAGCGCTATAGGTAACCGCCTGGGATCTGGGCAGCCAGGTAACCAGTGGGAAACTGGCAAGCCATAAGAATGCGCTGTTCTGGTTGTACTGAAACTGAAATTTCGATTGCAATGTAAATTGTAGTTGACAATAAAGAAGTTTGATTGATATGATTGGCTGAACGATACATTGATCTATCTATAAAACTCTATATTGGAATTAATGTTTTTTTTTTTTTAGGTTGGGGGCTTCAACTTCTGATTAATTGGCTAATTGATTCATCTCTCAAATGTTTCTCGATAATCCGTTCATATTTGGATTCCAAAAGCATCTTGAAGAAGATTTTATACAGAATGTAAATCAGGTGAAGCTATCTTGGATAGAAGGAACCAAAAAAGGACCAAAATCCAAATTGTTATAATTTTGGTATAATCACTGCTCAGAGTAGGGTGTTCTTTCAGCTAATGGAATATGTTTGAGTCTTTATACTCCAGTTAAACATTATTTGATTTCTAAATTAGTTGACCACTATTTCATTAATCAATTCATTGTCATTAATCAATATCAGCACATTAGCTGCATGAGGATGAAAATCCAGGAAAGACTTCACCTGCCTGCTCTTCTGTCTGGCTTGGCTTTAGCGATTCCTGGATTATTTAACCATTATTCAACCATTTGCCTCCTTATTATAAGGCCAGTTTGTCATGTTTTGTCTGATAATTCCCAGAGGAATAGTTGTCTCTCTCCCTCTTTGTGATAAACATGAAGGGACCACAGTTAACAGCTCACTTTAAATTCAGTTCTTAGGCAGTTTGATACAGGAGCCAGTCCCATCAACAGAGTATGACTGTTAGGAAACACAGAGTCAGATCTTTACTGTTTCTGCTTAATTGTTAAAGATTATGATGGACAAAAATAAGTAGATTTGCCACAAAAAAACCCTGTTTTATTACTAAATGACTGCACGTCATAATTATTAAGCAGCCAAATAACCAACCATACGTAAAATACTCTACACCCTTCACATCTGTCCAACAAAACATCTTGATGGTCCCCAAGAAGGTGTGCTGTTACCTCCAGATCAGAAGTAACACCAGAAAAAGGAGAATTATACTGACATGTACTGTGCTGGGAGAGGTCTGGTCAATGGATGCTTTAGGAACTGGACCTCTTGGACTTAGTGGAACAATTCATTTGACTTACTGCTAGGAAATCCATCAATCTATCCATTTAAAATAATGACAGCCCTATCCAGCTCTGTCTGGGGGCTTCCTCGTGCCAGACTGAATAATAGTCCCTCCAGGGATTTCTGGTGGAAGACCACTGCTCCACCCTGCTATTACCTAAAAACCATAAAACTAGATGCTCCTCCACTTGGGTTAAAGACTGACCATTTCCCCAGAGGCAGATTAGCATTACAAGAAAATCCAAAGTGTCCATCCGCCGCTTTGCTTAAAGCACTCTCAAGGGGCTGGATTAAATAGTTCTGTATGGAAGGATAGGTCCACAGTCCTTCACCATGATGTAAGGAGGTAAAAGGTTTATTATATGTTATCACAACTATTCTATGGCAGCTGTTTACATCTAGATCTGCACAATCAATCAATTGGGTCAGAGGGCAGTTATATCTCCTTGCAAGGCCAGGGCTGTTTAATTTTCCCCCCATAATATATAACCAGTTTAAAACTGTTTATTTTTTAGTTTGCTTTCACACAGATTGTTTTACCCATGTCTTAAAAGGTGTGTGTGACTTCAAACATTTAATTGAGACAAAAAAAGAGTGAAAAATATTTTCTATAGTTTGTTGGTAGAAAACAGCTGACAGCAAATAGGTATCACCTTGTCACTGCTTTTCATCTCTATCTATATGAATAATATGAATATGAATAAATTTATATATTTTATAATCGATAATAAATCCAGACCAAAATAATAAGGACAAATACTAACATCAGTGGAAATAGGAAAGTCAACCAATCAATAGATTAGAATGTTATTACTTATTAGGGATATATTTTAAATTGGCAGTCATTAATGTCATATGATTCAATTTAAATTCATTTGGAAAAAATTGAATATATGTTTGTACGTACTTGTGCTTTGGCAATTTGTTTAAAACAGTCATTACAATAAAGCTTATTTGATTTAACTTGACTAAGGTCCAGAATTATCACTTCAGGGTTTTTTAATACAGTGTTTATATGAAAATGTAGCTTAACGTTATCATAAAGAGAGCATACAGAGAAAACAACATAGAATGTGCTCTGACAGAGAGTTGTCAAAAACACTGTTTTGTAGAAAGATATGAGATTCAACACACCTAGACAACTGATGTGGCAAATGATTTTATCTTTGAGCAGTTTGTCTTAAAAGTTGGTATTAACATCTATGGAGTCTGATTATCTAAATAAGAATCACAGGAGATACGGAGAATGTCTTAAAACATCAAATGAGGTCACAAAGACATTTAAAATTTGTATGAAGATTGGTTAAGAAAGAGAAAGAAGACAATCCTAATCAGTGAGTTTGAAGTCTTTCCCCCCAGATGAGCAAAGGTGAAAAATATTTATTCACGTTTTTAGGTATTTATTTTAACACTGCTGAATAAGCAAATAAATGTTCCAGGAAAGCTGATGGTTATTCAAACAGTAAATGATCAACTAATTCATGATGTATTTCTCAGGTCCTTAGGACATAGCTAGATTTTTTTCTTCCTCTTGAGTTAATAAGTTTCAGATAAACAAATGGAAATTGTTTTTTGTTAACTCCCTTTATTTTTTCACATGGGCATGCCATAGGAAGACTGTAAGAAAATAAACAAGGAATCCCGCAAAAAAGAAAGAATAACTCTAAAAGAGCTACTAAAAGCTTTGAGAACTCTACCAGGTCATAAAATGGTCTAATTATTTACAAAAAGGTATTATTAAAAGAGACTTAAACTATTTCCTCACAGTTGTGCCTCCCAATCAAACCCAATCCTGAGATTTCATTAACTGCATACGTTTGTTTTTTTCAATCTTTTCATGCAGTCATCCAAGTTTGTTCCATAGGGAACAAAAAATTATTCCCTGCAAGTGAAGGTAATTTAGGCTTCATCTTTACATGTGGCAACACATGAACTCACCTTCTGGAGGTGCTCTGTGACGCTTCCACGTTCATGTTGATGTTAGACTCGCTCCAGCGGTCATAATGCACGCTGGATTCTGCACCGGACTCCATTGGATATGTGTGTTTTTTCTATTACTGGTTTATCTTTGTAGTTTCCGCTGTTAAATGTCAATCTAGAGACAGAAAATATATGGTATTTTACATGCAGGCAAAAGTTTAATATAGAAACAAAAATATGTAATGATCTCAAATATAGTGTGTGTGAATGTACATTTCTAATAACAGGATTTCCTTAATGACTACAGAAAATAATGTTTCTAGTTTAATTCTTGTAGGACTGATGGCAAAGAATAAATCATTCAGTTATACAATAAATAAAAAGTATCTTTCTTACCCGTGGCTGACTAGAAGCAGCTCCCAAAGTCTTTCAAATCCAGAACCTTATAAAGAAAGCAATGCTTCCGTCACAGAGTTAAGACTTTGGTCAAAGTGCACAGGTTCACTTGTAGCCATCCTGTCATAAATAGGCCGGCCTACATTATACTTTATCATACTACAGCTTCATGGTGATAAAATACAATTCTGTCCTTGCTACATTAAATTCCAGGTTTGTTCACATCCTGAGCAGATAGGAAGAAATGCAAAGCTTGACAAAAAGAAGCTGAATCTTGCACAGGATGTTAACTATTCATTTTCTATGCATAATAATAATCACCTTCGATTTTGTGTTTTGTTCTGCAGTCAATGCATGTGGACATCCGATTATAGTAATACTTTTGATATACCTTCTGATGAGACTCTTGAAAATAATGATCTTTAACCTGTTTTTTATTGAGCATTTATTTATATTTAAAAGTTTATAGTGTTTTAAGTTTCTAATGGAATAAGTAAGTAAAAAAAATCATATCTGTCTGTCTGTCTGCCTTCCTGCTTGCCTGTTTGTCAGTCTGTCTGTGTGCCTTTGTGCTTGTCTGTCTGTGTGTCTGCCTGCCTGCGTGTCTATGATGCGAATTAAATTAGCATCTGCTGCATAAGAAATCTCTGACACAGTATGAAGCAGGTGAGCTAATGCTGTGGGTCCCTTGCCAAAAGTATTTGTTTTAAACCTAAAATTACAATTTTCCAGGTAAACTCCTTCAGTTTTCTTGGTTTATTTCTCATTAGGCAAGCAAACAGAAAAGGACAAACATTTCCTCCATGCTTCTGTTGCAATGGTAAAAAAAACCAAAAACATACACGCAGATGCATGCTTGTCCTTCCATTGGCAGCCTATTTTTTTATTTTATTTTACCTTTATTTTACCAGGAAGTCCCTTGAGATAAAATCTCTTTTTCGAGGGAGACCTGGCCAAGGGGCAGCAGTACAATAAGGCATATAAAAACACATAAAAGCAACATAATAAAATCAATCATAAACTAGACTTTAGAATAACAGTTACAATTCTCTGTGTATTTATAAACATAATTCACACAAATTGATCATAACTAACCAGAAACTAAGAAAGATAACTAAATAATCAAAACACATAATCTCAAAACAGATATCAAACAATACGGCATAATAAATAAATAATAAATAAATAAATAAATAAATAAATAAATAAATAAATAAATAAATAAATAAATAAATAAATAAATAAAAAGTTAATATTTAACAAGTTTTCCAGTACATATATAACTGTGTACGTGTATATATATTATATTATATTCAGTACATATCCATCTGTAAATTTAGTTCATAACACTAGTTATCTATATATTATATTCATCTAATAGTAAGATTCTGTCTATAATGGTATTGATCTCTATACTTATTCAGTAGAAACCCATGTCCTGTATTTATGGAATAATTTTCATTTGATTTTTCCTGCACTTGCTGCTATTGTACTTCTGGTTAGATCTAAACTGCATTTCGTTGCCTTGTACCTGTACCTATGTAATCACAATAAAGTTGAATCTAATCTAATATATATATATATATATATATA